TTTGCCAATCATTCATTCATTGTCTTTGACTTCGGGTTAATGAAAATGTTAACAACTGGTGTAGGAGAAGAATTTATTTTGAATTGAGAGAGAACCTCACATCATCACATGCTGGAAACAATTTTGGTCCACGTGATTTGCTTCAAGGGGTGTGAGGGCTGAAAAGGTTGGGAACCAATTATTTAAAACATATAATCACTGTGGGCATTAATATGGACCGGAAGACATTCTAAGATATGATGACAATATTTCAGGTACCAATATTGGTTGGTGTGGTTATTTTATTTTTAATAATCCTGTTGGTAATATGTTGTATCAGGAGAAGAAGGTAATATTAAAATGAGCATTAGCAGTCCATTAATCCAAACCACACCCCCATCTGTCATACTTCCTTAGGCCATGGTAACACAAATGAGAAAAATTACATATTCATAGCTAATTATTTGGTAGCAAATTTCAGCCAATCAAAACAAATCGCTGGTTTTGATGAATATATAGCCTTCGGTACAGAATTGAGTAAGATTTTCGTTAAAGAATTGAAGCTGAGAGAAAATAAAACCTTACTTTGGAAAATTTACTTGGAAAGAACATGTTCTTATCTGTTTAAAAGGGCAGTGGCAAAGTGGTGCTGTGGTTTGTTTACATGACCTCATTTCTGTTCTACGGATCAAAAACGAAGTGGTATAACCTATACTTAATTGAAAGTGTTTATATTTTTAGAGCAAAGAGTTATACCTATGCTCGTTTGGGAGAATATGACATGGCTGTTAATGAAAAGATGCAAAGAGATCGACAAGAGAAAATGAATGCTGTGAGAGGTTCGATATTTATTATATCTCTGTTGTTTAAGTGGGTCAGCTAACCAACAATTCAAGGTTCCAAAAAAAAAACAATTTGATCAGGTTATAGTTCCAAAAAAACTTAAATTTATCTGAAAGAGAGTGGCGTAAATTATCTACGACAGGTACCCAAATGTCGTACAACCGATCTGTCTATATATCTCTCGCCAAAATAATAAATTTAACATTGTTTGTCTGCCAACAATTCAAATAAATGTTCATTGGAGAGACTCAAATAGCCTATTTTATTGATGAAATTGGAAGAGATTGTTTAACTGTGATTGTATTTATAGATTCAGCCTACATGAATTGTCAGTTCTATCTGAGATCAAATACACAGTATGATAATGTTCAACAACTTAAAGAATTAGGTGAGTGTTTGTCTGGAAATCTGAATAGATTTTTATAGTGTATATGCATAACACAGATGGACACACCATGGTAACACAAAAGAACATGGTCATAGATTATTTGAATATTATAAAGTAAATCCTGGTAGGATTAAAATAACACATTCTAATTTGACTCTTTGTAAAAAGATGGCTGTATTAAATGAGATCATGATTTTGTTGTTGTAGGGAGTCGCATTGATAAACATTGGTTTCGAGTAACAGACAGAAGATATCAAAATGAACGTATACTCAGTATAATACCTTATAATCCTAAAATGATGCTTCCATTCACTAAACTTACTTGTAAAACTTTAAAAGATTTATTTTCTATATTACAAGTAAGTGTATATACAGTAAGAAAACTGCGAAATAAGGATTTTGCAATTTTGGAAAAATGTCAAATAATTTTAGTCAGTAGAGAAAATTTATTTACAATTAGAATATATTATGTATCGCAAAAAAATGAAGTCACAGAGTTTTGAAAAGAGTTAATTTGTAGCTCGTTAATTTGTCACACCTGTGATCAAATTTTTGAGAATTCAGATTCGGCACACAGAAACAAAGGAGGCTATACAATTAAAGAAAGTAATTTGTAACCTGAATTGTCATGATATAGCATATTTTGTCAATAAATATTCTATTATTTCAGCACCCTCATATATTTCCGATGAGTGATTTTGATTTCTCATTAGAACAGAAGTTAGTGATATCAGTTCAACCTGTATCGATAAAAGGCTCATTAAAAGATTTAATATACCAGGTAAATTTCAACTACAACATAAAAAATAACAACAACTGGAAACTCAATTTCTAAGAAGATATTGTCGCCCTCCTGTTAATGTGAATTTATAGACAATAATAGTTTATTAAAGTGACATAATAAAATAAGTTGAAAATAAAAAAAAACCTATCATGTCCTACAAATTTAGTTTCATACATTTGTTTTTAGGGAAGATTTACAGATTCTTTTTATGAAAAATATAACAGAAGATATAAAGGTTTAGAATTAGGACAAGTACAAATATTTGGTAAACAAGTGCTAGAGGTAATCTACTATTCTCAAAATGGCAATAATCTTATAATTTTTGTTTTTCTTACCAGTAAGTCTTTCAGAGAGCACTCAAACAGCCACCCAAATTTTCACACGAGAGTAAATACAGTATTATTTCAAAATACCATCCAGTAATAACAATATTATGTGTCACGTTTGTATCTGAATTTCTCATTACTAGTTTTTATTACTGCGTAGAGAAAACTACTGGATAAATGAATTAAATACTATGCAACCCAATGAACTAAGTGTTCAAGTTGACTGACAAATAATTCCATTTGTTATAATTTTCAGTAGTACATCCTGCCAAGCTATACCCATCATTCAAGAACTGTATAAACATCTCCAACGCAGTTTTCCTAACATTTTTCACAAAAAATTATTTGTTGCTTTTAAACGTAATAGAAATTTAAGGGCAGACTTAATTTTATAACAATATAATTATCATTTTTTAACTTTTCCATTAATTTCAATGTATTTATTTGTTTCAGAAAACGTGTTTTTTCGCCATTTTTTTCTGCATATAACAGTAATTGGTGTTGATGAATTTTCTCCTCGGCCTGTGCTTTCATAATTTCAATTATACGTTACACCTCACAGGCGACACCGCCACAATAAACTCATATTTATTATTTTAGGGTTTGTTATTTATGTATGAGAAAAGTTTTCCACAACATGGTAGTGTCCATTCAGGGAATGTTATGTATGATAATGGTCAGTGTAGGTATGTAAAACACTTCTATTATGCAAAAAAAAAATATTTTGTCACAAAAGACAAAACGTTTCCTTTTTACCCATCAAATTTTGACATTTTGAAAGAATGTATGTTTATGTGTTTTACAGATTATCTGGTTTTGAGAATTCCTTTATAGGAAACACATCTAGAGTCCATCCTTTAATAAAGAAAAAATTGAAAGATAACAAGGAGGCTCTTGATACTTTATGTTTTGGTAAGAATAGTTTTCTTTATATTTTTGGCAAATGAGTATTGAAGAAGATTTTACCTAGAAACCACTGTCACTCATTGCCACAGTCTCGATCTGAACAGATTGAAGGATTTAAAAAAGTGGTTTTGTCATATATTGAATTGATTGATGGTCAGTTTGAAACATTCAATAATCAAGTGTAAACAATTGAGAGTAACAATAAATTTTTTTGCGTTTTTATTAACAGTCAGTGGATTAGCTTCAAGCCAACTTATTTACTGGAGAAAAGAACAGCTAAAATACTAATATAGTGATGAATTTCAGTCAAAAATTTTGATCATCTCAAATCAGACCATGTTACCCATGAAATCCTACCCAAAATCGGTGAGCTGATTAACAGTTTCAAGGCTAATCCATGGTACTCTGACTACAGCCTTTAATCTGGTTATTTTTTTTGTTAAATAGGTCATTTATTATTTGAAATGTGTTGTGGTTATGAATTAGATTCTGCTCATCCAGAACCTCAACATTTAATTGGACATCAATCTCCTCAAATTGTGTCAGTAAGTACAACCACTGGTGTATTTTATTTTTTTTATTGTACCTTTTAGCATATTTATTTTTATGTTGATTTATGATTATTAATAAACTTCTGTCATAGTTTGTGTTTTTTTATTGTAGATATTAAACTTTATATTTGGTATTGATACTGGTAGATATCCTACAATTAAACAGGTAAATATGACTTCATTTCTTTCTACGGATGTGTTTTGAGTGTTTGGTGCAGTCATATTTTATATCTGATTTTTGATTGTAGATAATTGAACATGATTTCTTCTATAATGTACGTCTGAATAGTTTAATGATGTATAACCCAGCACCTGTAAGTAATATTTCACTATAAATTATGAACATAATAAATAAAAAAAATCTAGAAGTTTCCAATTAAACTTTGAACTAAAGATCAATACATGTACAGAAGATTTTTATGATATCTAAAACAGAAGAAACACATCTATGAAAAATTTTCATGGAAAGTCTTTTTGAAATATCAGCTATACAATTCTATAAAATTGTATAATTTAGATTCATCTGAATCAAGCTATGAAGTCATTGTTAAAAGTGGTTCGAAGTGGTAAATCAGTAAAAACAAGGTAAGATGTTGAATAAATATTTGAACTGAAATCGAAATACACAAAATCTTGGTGTTTACTAATAACACATGTATTTCCCCCTTTTTTTTTTCATTGCTGATTTAGAGAAGCTCTTTAAATGGATAGTTGTATGTTATATTTTTAGAAAACAATCTGAATCATCAAGGAAAAAATCAATATCAAGAACTGACTCTACAGGATCTTCAAAAAATAAAGAAGTAATTAGTCGACAGACTTCCAGTTCTGTTCCTGTTGCACCACCCCCACCACCTGCTGTACCAGTTATGTCAACACCTGTTAATACTTCCACCAACTCCTCATCTCGTATGGCTTTATTATCAGATATACAGAGAGGCACTGGTTTGAAGAAGACACAAACAAATGACAGGAGTGCACCACATGTCTGATTATAGGCTAACAATTGTTATTGTGCATTGCTCTGTTCTGTAGTGGAGTATTTAACACTTAAAATTAAGACTCAATTATTCTGGTAACAATGTCAGATGCCGCATAAAAAAAAATCATTGTTATTTCTACATTGTGGGCACCCATGCTTTTAACCCCTGTGATTTTGACTAACTCTTTATTGCTCTACAATTGTATTGAGCACTATTTTAACAGTGAAAATATTTTATTATTGTATACATTTATTTTTATAAATATCTCAGAGTTGATAGGTTGTTGGTAGGCAATCCACCTTCACAATAGTTAATAAATACAAGTGATTTAAACCTGATTATTTTCTATCATTGATATTGTTTGTTACAGTTTTATATTTTGTTGAAAGAATAAAATAAAAATAAATGATTTTAAATATTTTTTGAATGAACCAAGGCCTTATTCAAAGCATTTCCTCCAAGGATTTCAGATCACATTTTTATAGGAACACATAAAATGTGGAGCATATATTAGCATCACCCATGTCCATATGTTCATCCAAAAGATACCCCAAATACATCAATTTATCAAAGATATTTTATACATCGAGGCAATACCTAAAAAACAGTTCATCAAGTTACAAATTCAAACATCAACATATATTTCACATTTCATCAAATTTGACAAACTTTGAATAATTCTTGGACAATTTCTAAAAAATATTGTCAATTTAAAGTCAAACTTAGATATCATCAAACCGAGTTGCCTATTTAATATTTTCAAATCAAAGCTGTCAAGGGCAATAAATCAAAAACCAAAATCAAATTATTGTCGATTGAAGATTTTAATTTCTAGTGTGTGTACTATTGGTTAGATAAAATAGTCCATAACTTTATGTTATTTACATACTTTATTTTAGTATTGTGCAACCATATTTATAAATGTTAGATCATTAGTAGAACAACGGTATGCTTGGGGGATAATACTAAGCTATTAAAATCATGTATCCATGAATAATGCTTGTTTAGTAATACATGGCTGGTTATTAACCTATTAAAACAAGTAACAGTTGACTTGAAGTAATGTCATATTACTGGCTGTTGGTCAGAAGATCAAGAGAAGGGATAAACGTGGACAATCATCAGAGCGAGATGACCTGATAAACACTGGTTTGGGTTAATTTGTCACTTGCTTCATGTACTTCAGATGTAAACTTAAAATATGGCTGCCTTTGAACAAGGATTATTTCTTCAATTACTTCTTTTACATTTTTATCAAGGTAATTTTTTTTTAGTTAAACCAGATAGAATAAGATCAAGGATTAATATAATCAAATGTATTGAATTGTATTTAAATTGTAATTTTTACATATTTTGTTATCTTAAATAATATTAAGAATATAAACCTTTTGTGGTAAAACTTTAAATATTAACCACCTGGGATGGTTTCCCATATTTTCAGCTTTGGTGCATGGTACAGCATGTAAATTAACAGGTCCATTAGTTTCTTATACAACATGTCCTTATGGTTGTTGCAATGAAACATCTTCTCAACACATTTGCTGTGAAAAACCCAGGTATGAGATCCATTAACACTAGGTCTTTCTAGAATGTGTAAATTGAGTGAATTTGATCCAATACCCTCTCTACTTGATTATTAAAGAATCAATGTAATTATCATGATTCAAAATTTATTTTGAGTTCAAGAAATATTCAAATTATTTGCCTCCGAGGGCCCATCCATTTCATGTCAAACCCTATTGTATGTTTTTGTAACAGTGCAAAAAATGTTATCTCTGAGTGAATCCTTAACAGAGGGAGGCAAGCCATCACAGATTAAACAACAGGGTAATATCTTACATGACAACAATATTACTCTGGGATCTTGTTAATGAGACACAATTTTGTTATAAATAATATTTCAGGTTAACAGATGAAATGATATGGGGCTTAGTAGTATGTTTAGCTATTATATTTCTTATAATTGGTTGTATTGTTTATATTGGATGTAGAAAACACAAGAAAACTTTAAATAATGGGATTGTTTTATCAACTAATCTATCATGCAGTATGTAATTCTCAGTTTCTTTTTCTAAAAAATTATTTTAAACACTCAATGAAGAAAACATGGATTTTGAAAAATTGAAATTGTGTCTTAAGTCAAAAAAAACCTCTATCAAGTGATGCAAAGCATGATCCAACCTTTCTTGTCTGTTGAGCACGAAAAGAAAGGCTTCCTTTTTAATGCTGGTGATAGTTGCCGTTAAAGAATTTAATTAAAACTGCAATTGAACTTATGTTATATACATGTATACTATTGTGGATATTTCAGGTTACATTAATAGCGGTGCTGTTGCCTCTCTGAGTTGTGAATCCTCTTTAAATGTAGAGTTTTATGAACTTACTGTACCTCAAACTCCCAGTCCTATGTATGGTGATTTACCACCATCATATGAATCAATTGTTTGTGACAAAGATAGAGTTGTGGATGCATTGGATGTGTAAAATGTGGAGGTTTTCTCAATGTGTGAAGTATTCAAAATCACTTTTCTCGCTCATATTGTACTTTTATGCACAAATTCTCCGCTGACAAAATCCTTACAGTTTATCGCAGTTGATTTTTCAAGATTAGCACTGCACTCTGATTGACTATATCAGATTCAAAGCTTTTAGAATTCTTTAATTTAAAGGAAAATGATATTTTACAGATATAAACTTACAATATTGTCATGTCTAATTTCCATACAGGTTGTGAACTGCACTTTTCTGTGGTAAGAATAGGACATACGTATGAATTTATTTATTGTCACAATTTTTGAAATATTTATATTTTGTTTATTTTCTGCTGGTTACTACAAGTGCCAATCTGACCAGATTCTTCTCTAAAAATTTATACTAACCAATCAACCAAAACTGGTAAAAGGAGACACACTACATGTCAATGTTTTACAGTGATATACCAGATGTAGTCAACTTAATTATAAAACTTTTTGCTGATGTTACGAAACTCCAATAAAACAATTGTACTGAACTGAAAACCTAGAGCAATTAATGATTTTGGTTGGAATTTTGGACCTCAATACTACTTGCCAGAAGACAATCTGAACAAACCCAGATCACCAACAATGTGAAGAAAGGCATGATCCACAGAACCATTACCAATATCGAAACTGGAATACATATTCATACCTTTTTGTAGAGTCAGGGCTACCTCATACGTCAGTACGTCAGTGAGTTCGTCACTCCGTCAATGAGTTCGCCACTCCGTCAATGAGTTCGTCACTACGTCAGTGAGTTCGCCACTCCGTCACTGGAGTCCATCAATACGTCGATGCTACCTTACAATTTTATAACTTTTGTTTTTAATAAGTTCTTAAACGAAAAACGACATTTGACGGAGTATTTAAATCAAATCGTCTATAGAACATGTCAAAGACTAAAAAAAAAAATTTCGTACAAATTGGGGAATATCTAATTTCCATCAGTAAACGAAAATAAGATACAAGCTAATGACTTCGATTTTTCGTGTTTTTAAAGCATCGTAACTCGTTTCTATTATTGTATGGACCTATATCAACATTCTTGCAGGATATCGATCTCAATTTGCTAATGGGTCGTGCAAGTGAAATATCTTGTATGTAGGCTATACAAAAAGGCCAGAATTTTAACAATTCTTGGTATGTTTACGTATAATTTTGTGTACATCGTTTAATATGATTTTTTTATGAACGATTTTTGAGTTAATTGATTTTGATCTATCCAAAATAAACGAATTTGGCATGTGAATACGAACGAGACTGCAGTTGTAACCTGATCTTGATGGACTTTGGCATGTTTTGTTATGTATATTGTTGAGAACTTTTCGCGATTTTTCTTCGAAATGGATTGGTGATCACTATAGAAAAAAATTTCTTCTGCTTTTGTCGAAATTTGGAATGCTATATTGGAAATAACTTCGATCTTCAATTTATGTTCAATTAACGTTTTTTTTAGTTATTGATCTTTGTTTGGCAAAAACAGCGTCAAAGTTTTCCTGGGAACACAGTTATCTCTTCCACCGATTATTGTTTTGACATTAATTTGGTTATAATTTAGTTACCGTAATTATTTACATCTGGTTATTATTAAAATTTTGTAAACTTTTTATGATTATCAGGGACACTGATTTGCACCATTCTAATTTAGTCATAATCATATTGCATTTTTAATGAAAAAAGACGTTAAACTCCAACACTTGAATTGTTGCTTCTGAATGCGTTAGACAATATTTACATTATGCATTTGTAAGTAACAAGCCATATTGAAATGTGCTGTGATCAATGGAGATATTATATTATTTTTTTAAAAACAGAAGAATAAATGAGATTAAAGCTGCTGTTTTGTAAGTGTAGCCTATAGCCATCACTCGTTTGCCATGATTATGATAACTGTGAAAATATATATTTTTTCAAAAACTTGTAATATTTTATGTCGAATTCTGGTATTCTTTTATTTTTAATAAAACAAATAATAAGAAAACTGTTTTGTCTTCTAATAGTGCCATAAAAAACCTGACATGGGAAAAGCGTCTAGTCGTTCGGATGGGACAATAAATCGAGGCCCTGTGTGCTACAGGCTGTGGACGTTAAAGATCCCTTGACCGTTGAAAATTGAAAAAGAGCAGGCTAATGCCGCCGTCCTGGCAAAATTTCCCTCATTGCACCCTGCATTGTGTTGCCTGTCTTTATTATCCCACATGGTGCAGAAAAGTAGGACGTTAAACTCCATTCATTTCATTTCTACATTTGCAATTACTAAATATTGCATTCAATATGAGATGAAGATGATGGATCTTTACATACTTACATATTTTCATTTCACATATTCCTTAGTTTTTGTTTAGCTTGTGCTAATTTACAATTCTAATATCTATATTGTGTTTTTTTCAGGTTAGACCTTCCCTACAAGAAGTAGAACTATGATTGTTACTATCACCACATGAAAGTAAGTATATTTACTGTTATTTGAAAGGTATTATGAATGCTACCTATCAGAAGATAATAGTAAACCAAAATTACAATGTGCTGAAAATGAAGGCCATTTTGCCCATTTATTAATGAAAGGGATTAAATGACAGGGACAGATGATTTTGAGGGATTGTCAATTTGGAGGGGGGTCATTTACATTTTACATTGGGTATGTCGCTTTTTCACTTGACCTCAAGATTTAAATATATTTTATTTCATGTGATGAGATATGATTATGTTGATTGGTTGAGGACAGAATATATTTCGAAAAAATGTATTTATTCAATGCACACAACAGACTCGAAGCATTTGTTCAGAATTCAAACAAGTTTGATCTTCAAACAAATGTTTCTTGAAACAAAAAACAATGTTTTGTGCTAACACACACGAAACAATGTTTCACAGACAAAAGTCAGTTGTGTGCATTGGGCTTTAGATTGAAAGATAAAATGATGCAACTTTATTCAAAATGTCTATATATATTTTTTACTATTGTAGGTTGTGATTAAGGGTATGCCAGTGAAGAGATTATATGATATAAAGAAACCTTAAAAACTAAAAGGAAAAATGAAGCAGATAATATTATATAAGTTGCAAATAGAAAAATTTTAGTTTATAGTTGACAAGTGCTTATATAAATGTATAGCATGAAAAACTAATTATATATTGTTCAAACCGTTTCTTTGATACATGTATTTTTTAATATTATGTAATATGTAAAATGGAGTGCAATGAATTATCATTGATAAAAATCTATCTATCTGTACTTATGTAGTTTTAGTATTTGGGTTCAGAAACTGCTTATTATCATAATGAAACAGTCTGTTTTATTCACTTAATAGTAATTGGGTGAAGAAATATCTACTAAAATACTACAGAGTGGTCAATATGATTGGAGGTCATATCTAAGGCTGAGATGCCTTGCCAAGGGTACCTTTTAATTCTGCCCCTTCAATTTCAAGAAATTGAGCAAATAAAAGCCAATTTGTAGAGAATGTATCTCTTACCTATTCTGAAATTACAGTCGCGACATTTTGGGGGTTGATTTGAGTTCTGTACTGGATGTGTACGAAGATCGCATAATTCCTTCAAAAATATCACAAACTAGGAATTCCTTTTCCTATTTCTATAGATGCCTTTTCTATATATGGCAGTGTCTCAAGGAAAGACGACTCGTCTTTTTAACGTCCAAACACGAATAATTCTGGACACACATGGATTTGAAAGCGACGGTGAGTTGTGAACACTATTACTGATTGGCTTAGCTAAAAAATTTCCATTTCTGAGACTAAGGTAAGAATTTTATTTTACTCGTTGGATGAACGACATCACATAAATAAATCACAAAGTGTCCACACTTCCACGAAAAAACTGATGGTAAGACTTAAAACCTTGTAAATCGGTCATAGTTTAATTTCAGAACGAAAGTCTGTTCTAGCTCTTGCCATATTTGACATGCGGTAGAGAAATGATCTTGGCATGGATATGGCATTCCATAGATGCTGTAGTTTAGAAAGGGGTTTTCACCATCGTGCGTACAATACCGGGTCTGTGGAAACAAAACCAAATTAGTAAAATGTGCACTCCTTGTATGTATTTCACATTCTTGGAAAAACAAGTGTGGTAGGAGACACAGGGTTACAATGCATGGAAACATGCTTCTTTTGAATATATGGGACATTCTGGGGGAGACTATGTTCAAATGTGATAGAAAACACAAGGTTTGATCTCTATCTTGCGTACAATGCATGGAAAAATAACCAAATTGGTTGATTGTGCTTCTTTGAATGTATCGGACATTCTGGGGAAACTATGGTCATATGTGGTAGATTACACACGGTTTGATCTCTATCGTGCGTACAATGCATGGAAACATAACCAAATTGGTTGATTGTGCTTCTTTTGAATTTCTGGGAGAAACTATGCTCATATGTGATAGATTACACACGGTTTGATCTCTGTCTTGCGTACAATGCATGGAAATACGTTAAATCGAAAGAATGTGTCTCTCATGTTTTAAGTTGGCATCCGTGTCCCAGCATATTAAGTGAGATCTCTTCATCCTGCAAAAAATTGTGTTGAAAATAGTCCGCGGCCAAAGGGAATGGAACGCACTTTTCAATTATTTACATTCCCATGGGAACAAAAAGTTGTTTGTATGGTATGAACTACGGGTTCTCTCAATATTCTTGGGCGCCTTTTTGAACGCATGTCATCTCATTCCCAACAAACTACGGTTTCCTTGTGTCCAAAGCGACGTTGAGACATATCTACTTTTAGATCATGTCTCGTCGGTACGAACTCGTCTTCCTTTTAGGAAAAAGTAAAATACGAAGTTGGGACAAGTCTACTGTTTCAGACTTTAACAGTGATTAAGATGCTCACCTTGTACATCCACTGGAGATAATAATGCTTTCAGCGCTTTATGCTAATCAATAGTGAATACGAATAGTCATTTTCCTCACATTTCTGATTGACTTGAAATGGCTTCAGATAATG